TGCCCAAAAAGTGATTAATTCAGTCACTGCTCAAAGACTATCTGTGGTCCTATTTTAAGCTTTCCACTCCCTTTTTCTCTTCTACTTTATCACAGCCTCATTTAGTTCTTATATTTAATTATTTCAGGTATATGTTGGGTAAGTTGGGATGAGATTGTCAAGATATGGGGTGCATTCTAGCCCAGGGTCTCACCTTCTCTGTCCTTCCCTCAGGAGGCATCCACTGCAGCTATTAGATATGACTGGACTCCTGGATTATGGCTATGAGGAAGACCTAAAAACTATGAAAATGTGGGCCCGTACCATGACCATGGCCCAAACTGGCATTTGCCACCTCTTGGAGAAAGTTGAGCAGCCAAATGAAAGCCCCAACAAGTGCAGGAAGGTCGAGGACCTGCCATGCACACTTCTCCCTGTGGAAGTGCGTGTAGATCTCTGGGTGACCCCCTCCTCCAGTGGCTTTTTAAAGCAGGCCCTGCAGAATAATGCTGTCAGCCCCCTGCGCTTGTGCTGCCGGGATTTCCGAGCTGAAGACCTTCCACCAGACATCACTGTGGATCTCCTGGGGCTATTGGACCACTCAAGCTTACGCCGCCGACTAGATCTGTCCTTCTTTACTCTGGAAGCCGGGGGTGTGTGGGAGATCGTAGCTTCCATCATGAAGTTCACTAATCTGCTGAGCTTGAAACTTCAGTACAGCAACATGGATGTGTGGCGGCTCTGGGCCATGTTGGAAGGCACCTTCAGCTTCTTGGCTTCAGAGATGAGTAAGCTGAAACGCCTCAAGAAGCTTAATCTGGGCACCTCGTGGCTCTCGGGCCAGCTTCGGCAGCTGCTTAGGTGAGTGAGCCTCTTGTTCATGTACCTGCCCTGAAAGGCAGCTCCAGGGCTTCCTAATGGGAACTGTTCAGCTTGAGAGAAATATATTCTCAAATATTTGTCTCAGGGCCCCCTTCCTTTTCTTTCCTGAAATCTCAATTCCTTGGTTGTTTTTACAAACATGTTAAAGTGGAAGGACTGCTGGAGACCTGCTTTCAAATCCTTGTGCCAGAACTTCAGACTGTTCAACTTTGGGCAACTGGTAACCTTAGAGCTCCAGTTTCCTGGGTAAAGTGGAGAGCATGGTCCTTGCTACTCTAGCTCCCCGCCTGAGCCAGTGTGAGGAAAGCTCTCTGTAAACAGTGAAAATACTGGTAGCATGGGAGTGGTTGATTGTCATTATGCAGAGAACTTTGTGCCTTAAAGCTTTGTAGCTTCTCTCCTGTATGTGCTTTTCCAAATCACTATGACCTTGGGCAAAACTTGCCCCTCTCACTTGAGGAAAAAGCTGCCTGGCCAGCTGGTGTCTAGGAACAAGCCCCAAGAAGTTAAAGCACCATCCCAGCTTCCTCATGTTTGTTCTGTTTTCCCTGGGAAGTAATAGCATTTCTCTCTGTGTCTCTCTTTGCAGTGGCCTACAGTGTCCCCTGGAAAGCCTGGAACTTCCTGTCTGCTACCTGCTGCCTGTGGACTTGAGCTACTTGTCCCAGAGTCCACATGCTCCCCACCTCAAGAAGCTAGACCTCAGTGGCAACAACCTGTCAGGTGATCTCTTGCCCCCTTTCCAGGCTCTTGTAGGGGAGGCCTCAGCCTCCTTGCTGTGTCTGAAGGTGACAGAGTGCCAGCTCATGGATGTTCACCTCATTAGTACCCTACCACTTCTGTCCCGCTGTACCCGCCTACGCTATCTTGGTCTCTATGACAATCCCCTTTCTAGCATTGGGCTGAAGGCCTTGCTGTCTCGCTCTGAGGTAATGCCTGACCTCCAGCTGGTAGTGTACCCATTTCCTGTGGACTGCTATAAGGACCTGCCTGGTGTGCCCCTTTCTGCAAACCTCTTGGAGGACTATATTGATGAGGAGAAATTTGCTCAGGTTCAGGGAGAGATGCATCAGATGTTAATAGCAGCAGGTAGGGCTGATGTGCTGTGGACCACAGATGTCTATGGCCCAAACATGCCCGACTACTTTAGCTTGTGACAGGAAGGCTGCCTGCCAGGGACAGGGAGGCCCTTGCAGTCATCCATTCCCCCTGGGCCTGGCAGGAGAGCCTCCTCACCTTCTGGGCTGCATGTCTTGGGGATAGGTAGGGAGCCACAAAGCCTTTGCTCTCATTGCCTGCCATCTTCAGACAAGGGAATGGGGCTAACTAACAGGGAAGCTCCAACCTGTGCCTCACCTGAAGGGTCCTTGATAAGAATAACAAGTGTGAATGAGGAACTCTTAGCCAGTGGAGTAGGCCCAGTATTCTGGCACCCCATTCAGTCAGTGAATTGTTCCTGTGGGAAGGGCATAGTTCTTTCTGTCTTCCTCAGTGAGTGAAGGGAATTGGGTTCATTACTGAGGAATGGGAGGTCGTATGCCAAGCTTCAGCCCCAGAGCTTCTGAGTTGTAGATCACTGATCTGGAGTCTCGAAAGCTCTCAAGATTAAGCCGTAGCCTTTCCCTTTCCATCCCACCCTTTGGAATGGACAGCTACTGCTGTGAACTTCTCTTCTGCCAGGCTAAGGATGCCCACTTAGTTTCTCATGTCTTCTCCTAGGTTCCTGGTTTCCTTTCTCCAAGAGTCTCCCTCCAATTTCTTTTTTTTTTCTTTTAAACTCCTACCTCGCCCCGGGAAGGGTTTGAGCTTAGGCAGGTGCTAGCCCCTTCTCAGCTGCATCAGCCTTAGCTACTCCTTAGTCTCACCCTTCAGTGGCATGAAGAAAGAGGCAGTGGAAAAGGGCAGCCTGTGGGATCCTTCCCTGGACCTTAGGCCTAGTTTTTCTTCCGCTTCCCCAGGGCTCAAGTTGCTCTTTGAACTTTATTCTGGGTGGTTCTGTCCTGAGCCCCAGGGCTTTAATTTTTCACTACTTTCTAAGTCTCACTAATTTTTAACCCTTTGGCTTGAGACACCAAGCACCACTTGGTCCCTGGGCCTGCTTGCTCCTGAGCTCAGATCTACTGACCCTTCTTCCTTTTTTTTGCTACTGCCACTGTATCTTGGTGTACCTAGTTTTGCTTCAGTGGTCCCTTTTTTTCCTTTTTAACCCTGTTTCTCCATGCTCCACACAAATATTGTCTAGGATTTATTCCCAAATTAAAGGAGAAGGGTATTGATTCAGAAATAATATAACAAATGAGATAGTTACAATCAGTTATAACAAAAATTAATTCCAGGACAGACTTGATTATAATTAACTCTCTGAAATGTTCTCTGGGCTTTACTTGGTCCCTGTGTACTTCTCTCCTCTATAAACCTACCCCATACTCTCTAGGGCCCCAGAAAAGAGGATGACAACACTTGTCTCAGAACCCCACTGCCTATTGGGGATTTTCTTCTGACAGCAGATCCCAGTTGTAATCAGGATGCTTTCTGATTACTGCTCAGTGATCACCTACATTATAATCAGGTCACTAAATATCTCTCCTGTTTCTGCCCAAAGTAGGGGAAGAGGTGATGAAGAACTACCTGTCACTGAAGTGTTTTTCATTTTTGCATGACTCAGAAACAAGACTAATTCAGTATTTCTTTAATATCATCTTGCCCCAGCCAAATTTCACAAAAGACGATCCCTTTCATTCCCGGGATGCCAGAAATATGTGGTACTCGAGTGGGGCCGATGCTTATCCTACTGAGAAAAGGCATAGTGATAGCCAGTTCTTTCCTCCCCAATCCCTCACCCTGGAGGAAAAAGCTGTGTGGCAGAGCTAGTGCCTGTCCCCTCCCCTAGCCCTTGCTTCCCCGTCCCTACCTTTTTAGACATTAGAGCAGGAAAGTCTCTATCTATCTGTGTGTAGACTTTGTTGTTTCCTGACTCCTGAGAGAAGTAGTTATGGCTAACATATGCACAGGGACCTGCTGACATTTTGCTTATCCAGGCTGACACATCATAAACTGAATTGCTTCACAGATGATTCGTGACTACCTACCTGGCAAACACAGGTAGTGAACCTTCTGTCTTTCTCTGGAGCCCTAACGCTGACCTGAGCTTATCAGGATTCCAGGGTAAAAGGAAGGTGAAAAGGACCCCCTACTGTTCACTCAGTGTGGCCTACTTGCTTGGCCATCTCACTAACGGTGGGAAAGTAAAGGAGCAGAATCTCGAGCTATAAACAGGGTAGCTGGATTTTACTCCACATGAACTGTTTGCTGACTTCCTGGCCAATGCTGGTGGAATTGTTCCTAAATGAAGGACTTGACATTCATTCCTGTTAAATTTAACTTTGCTTCTTGGTCCACTTTGTTGGAATCTTTGTGAACCTCAGCTCTGTTGTTCATGGGTAGCTATGTGCCACCCCGTTTTCTGCCAAGAATTTACATGTTGAAGTGACAGGTCCTCAGATTGCTCTCTGTGGACTGGCTATTGGAACTGTTATCTTTGAGTTTTCATCATTCCCCTTCAGTACCCACATTGCCCTGCAAAGGGGGGTGCAGGGTGGGAGGTGGGGTTGCACACCAGCATATAAGCCTGTGATATCCATGCTCAGGCATGTCGAACTCTTGGGTGTTGAGGACCATTCAAAAGGTTGCTTTTACTGCAGGGGGTGAGAGGAGAGCCAAACCTAGTCTTTTCCTCTAGTGTTTCCTCCTTTCCTGGGGCAGACAGAAATATAGGTCCTTGGTGGCCCTCTTAGAGACTGGTGATGTCCCAGAATTAAACCCCTAGAAGCATCCAAGCCTCCCATACTAGGACTTGTGTGTACCTGGTTCTGACCCTAGGATGTTCTCAGGCTCAAATCTGACCTGTCAGGGGCCACGTCAGTTGTTTTCCATACTCCCAGCCTCCCTTTCATCACCCCCACCGAGAACCCTTAGAGGAAACAGTCTAAAATGGCTATTGCCCCTAGACCTGAGTGGGGGTGGGATCAGGGTAACTGAGGTCCCTGATAAATTTCATTTTATTTTATTTTTTGATCATCATTCCAGCCTGTGAGTTCTTTGGGAATCTTACCTCTGTGGTCCATTGCTACTTTGTTATTCAGCTTCCATTTCACACACATTAAATGCAGGGCAGGACCAAGGCACAATGATTTGGGGGGGGGATATTAAAAATAGAATGAAGACACAGGCCCTGCCCTCAAGTTATGATTTAATAGAGGAAATAAGATGGACACAATTCTAAAAGGAGAGATTTAAGGAGGGGAAGAGTCACTTTCTGTTAGGGGAAATAAAAGGCTTTTTATGGCACCTTAGTTGAATCTTGAGAGTTTTTAACTGGGAATTTTTGTTTTAAGCATGAGGGATGATGTGAGCAAAGGCACAGAGAGGGGAAAAGAAGAGATAAAAACAGGGAATGAGTAGTCTGTCTTAGCTGACAAAGTAGATTATATAAAAGGGAGTAATATAAGGCCAAGAAAGTATGTAGAAACCAGGTTGTGGAGGGTGTTAAGGACAGGATCAGAGTTTTATACTTCATTAAGTAGGAGAGCAGAAATTGATGAAGTCATTTTTAAACACAGAAGGATGGTTGGGGGAGGGGCAAGATTGGAGACAAGATAAATTGTGTTTGAGGTGTCCATGGGGAACACAGGCCTGGAATCATGGAGATAGGTGAGATCTAGAGGTAGAAATTAGGGAAACGAGGGGCAGCTATGTGGCGCAGTGGATAGAGCACCGACCCTGAAGTCAGGAGGACCTGAGTTCAAATCTGGGTTCAGACCAAACACTTGACACGTATTAGCTGTGTGACCTTGGACCTTAACCCCAATTGCCTCACTAAACAAAAAAAAAAATTAGGGAAACATACAAGTAGCAGATGATGGGTGGGCATTAAGGCCCCCAGGAAAGAAGGAAAGACTGCCTTGGGGGACACTCCTGGGATTACTGCTTTAGGTGTTCAGATATTTAGATTGATATTCCTATTGGGTGAGCCACAGTGCAGTGTCTTGGGCCCCAAAGAAAAGTTATAAATTAACTCTCATCCATAGTCATTGATGCTGTTCATGCTGTTAAAAAGCTGTGTGGACACTGCAGGGAACAGCTGTAAAGCAAGATATTTGAGTGAGTTTGTACAAGTTAACTTCAGTGTCACCTCTCAGCAGTTCACATAACTCCAATTTTGCTTGTTTTTCCTAAGAAGGAAAATGCTTTTCACATATGGGAGGTTGAAATATGATTGGATCAGAGGGAATGGGGACCTAGCAATCTGATTCTTTCAGCCTTTCTCACCCCACACTGCTGTTCAGCTTCTTAGCCTGGCATTCAAGACTCCATTCGATCATGCTTTCACACTTACTGTGCAGTCTTGTTAGATGACCACAGATGGTGTGCTCAGTGCTTCAGACAATCTGGACTACTTGCCATTCTTCCCTCAACCCTCGTCCAGCTTTGTCTTGCTTCTGTGGTTTGGCTTATGTCATTTCCTGTCTCTGTCCCAGTCCCCAATCATCTCTGTTTAAAGCTTATGTAGCCCTTTAAAGTCCAGCTCAAAGGCTGTCTCCCCCAGGCCACAAAGCTTCTCCCTTGCTCCCTAAGCCCATTGCTTGCACCACCTGTCATGCACTTAGGAACACAGAATGTTTAGTCTTATAGTTATTTGTGTGTGATGCATCCCCTTGCTAGATTGTGAGCTCCATGAGGGCAGAAATTATATCTTACCTAATCTTTTGTCTCCCCTCAACCCAGGCACAGTGTTCTGCTTATAGAGGGCCCTTGTTAAATGTTTGTTAGAAGCTTACTATTAAGTAAGGAGGTAGTGGAGGAACACCTAACTGTAAAAAGAGTTTAAATGCTGCTGAGATTGTGAAGATGGCAAAGTCAACTAGAGCTGCCAACTAAAGGGAATACAGAGGAACTTGGAGAAGGTGGTTGCCCAGAAGCAGCAAGATAAGAAAATACCAAGGCCGGCAAAACATCTGGACTTGACAAGAACTATTTGTTTAGCTCCACAACTTGTTTATCTCAGTACCAAACTCCTCACCTTCTGCTCATCCCCTGCCTGTTGTACTGCTTCCTCTTCAGCTGTGCCTTCCCTTTAGCTCCCCAGCCTGGATTCCCAGTTACTGAATGTCTTCAGTGGAAGAGGTTCTCCTCCCCCTGGCCTTGGGGCCTCTGGACTGGGAAGGCTCCAGTTTTCACCATGGAGCCTGTTTCATCATGTGCCTTGGCACTTGAAAGAACTTGGTTTGTCACAGGGGAATAGCTGTCAGTGGCTGAGGGATCCTGGTGAGTGGGAGAGGTGCCCTGGATCTGGAAATGAGTGTATGCTGTCCCCTTGTGCTCTGTCAGGCCTTGGAGACGGAGGGCCAGGGCTGCTTGGTAGTGTTGTCTAGATTGTGTGACCTCCAGAAGAGCAGTGACTGTGTCTTATCCAACCTATGTATCTCCCTCAGCGCTGAACCCTGGT